CTCAAGTCAGGCAAGTTAAAATTGCCTCAACCTTCGCCACAGAGTGAGGACCCGGAACGCGAGAGAGGTCAACCTCTCGGAAATCCTGCTGCTGCTGCTGACCAGGGGGACTATCCAGGCGCGCGGCCTTCACTTTGTCCCAGTTCTCCTCAGCCGACGCGCCGTCATTAGCGACAAGGCCGCGAACTGTAGCCTGTAGCGCATCCGAATCAGTGACGATTTCTGACAGTCTCGTCACGGAGGTACTGGCTATGAATAGACGCAGATCCGTGCCACAACTAGTGCGGATGCAGGCCATGCTAACGGACGAGGGAAGAAAAGCGTATCAGTACTGGGCGAGACTTGAAGCAAGAGGGTGGTAAGCTGCAAAAGGACAGCAGAAGGAATTCAAATGCAAGCCCAAGGGACCTCCTCATATTTTGGTACGATATTTTCAGCTCACCACAATACCTGGACGGCGTTTACACCAAAGTGGATCGGTGGAAGAAAGACGTCTAAAGGACGACCTCGTGAGCTGGTTAAGGCAGCAAACGACTTCTGCATAGCGCATTATAAGTCACTAACTGCAGATCAGATTCAATGGTGGATTTAAGAGAACTGCCTAAGGTGATAAATTTAGTTCGGAGAAATGAACAGTCAACTTTAATCGTCTCAACGATAACATTCGTTACTGCCGAAATAAGTTCGATGCTCTAATAACGCTAGGTTTGAAAACAAAAGTAATTTTTGACGAACGTATAATAGGAAAAAAAGTATAGTTACACAAAACATCTGAAGCGGTATGGAGTTTGTATATAATACACACAAAAACATCAAAAACAAGACGTCAAAAACATCGTTTCTAATGGGTTTTTGCTAGGCACGGCTTCGCCAATTTTTGAAAGTGTACAACAACATAAGTTTCGCCTTTAATAACCGATGTCGACGCCTTTTCTACTGTCATACCTTATGTGAGCATTTTTTGCGGTATAGTTTTGGAAAAAAGCGTCCTATGGAGAAAATAAACTGAAATTGGTTCATGTGAGCAGCTGATGGTACATCATTACGCAAACGGTTTTCCCCTTGGATCATAACAACCAGAAGGACACCAGTAATGACCTGCCGCAAGTCAACTTTGAAAAACTACCATAAACGAAATGCGGAAGAACTATGTGCAGTTGACTGCACCATTTTAAAAACTAAACTGGGCACGGGCCCACTTTGGTTGAAGAACATCCCCTGAACCAAAGATATAAAAAAGGGTAAATAGTCAGTAGTCATCTCATATAAGAGTAAAAGTGCGGCAAACTGGGTCCCAATTTCTTAAATTACAATAATGGCTATGAAGTATTTTCGGCAAAACAATTGGAGCAACCAACTTCGGCCCGAGATGCACGATATTAGGACCTACAATTCTGAAATGCATATGCGATACGCTCATAAAAATTACCATTACATCAACACAACTTCTGAAATCGTATTTACTTAACTAAACGTCTAAAAACATCACTAATTTAAACTGACCCTGCTTACAGGTTATCTAGTGGCAGTAATGCCTGGGAATCCAATAGATAATAAATTACGACCCGATTCGTAAGTTGGCTCGCAGAGCAGTGTAGATGTCCAGCGATGTATTTTTAGAACATCTACTAGTCAAAAACTGTGGTGAGCGATTTACCTTATCCGATGACCAAAACGAATCGTGTTTGCCTCTATAAAGATGTCTGTTGTAAGTGTGCATGTTGGTCAATTAACTGTTATAACCGTCGTTCTCGATCTCTTCAATAGGTGCAAAACCGCTAACATAATCTTTCTCATAATCTGCCTCCGAATACTTAGAAATCCTATGCTCACACAGAGACTTTTTCTGAGCAGGAATCGTTTTCCTTCAGCATACTGTCAAAATTAAGCTTATAACACCAAAAATAACCGAAAACAGCAAGCCTTAAAAGACGACGCCGTAATTTAGCGAGTCGACTTAGGGAAATTAATCTGCAACGGCAAGCAGATTGCGCGAGAACTGAAAGACAGACAAAAAAACGCTCCGTTTTCTAAGAAAATAACACCAAACTGTTTGCGGAACATGGTTGTGACTGTTCAGGGTCGATAGGAAGTCTATAGAACAAGGTTATTGATTGGCCAGTGTCTTAGACGAGTGAAGTTACTTCCCAATTGCAAAGACTAAAACGTGTAGAGCACCATTTTGTTAGTTGTAAGCAGTCGAGACCGGCCAGCAAACTGCTTTCGAAATATTTTACGGCAAAATCCTACGACGCTAACGATTACTAATTTTCCTCATTAAGACAGCCGCAGAGCAGATGGTAATTTCTTCTCCGCGTGGGTCAATAAATGCAAGCACAAACAGTAACCCTTGACGAACTATTACGCGTCTTGGTGGAGGTTGAGGGAAATCTCGCTTTAAACTCGACTCACCAGGTTAGGTAATTGGAAAATACGAAATTGGCTTAAGGGGGCCATCGAGCAGTTGAGCGTGCTTCCGAAAGGTAAACACTCGGTGTGAGAAGTCTGGTTGACTTGTGCCTTGCAAAAGGGTTATGGCACTGTCCAGATCGAAGGTGCACCTCTCTCTTTTATGGTTTTGGCAAAATGATAACTCGGTTTTGTGCAAGCTATCAGTAGCGGGCGTTCGTGTTATTGGGTATGCAACTCTTAGGTTTTCCGGTATAATCGGACTGACATCCAACAGACTGCTGGATAGCTCATAAGTATCATTAGATGGTCGTGGGGTGTAGTCTGTGAGTCATATCCATAAAAGCGGTTGTAGAGGACAAGACATCTAAAAATCCACTTGGTGCATGAGATGAACCTTTAGGTGCTACATCGCCTCTCACTTAGTCGGTTAGCATCCTTCCTGCGTCAGTATGGAAACATCCCCTGAAGTGTTTCAACAGAGCATGTCGACGTCTGGAAAAGGACAAAACTAGTACATGGTTTTCTGCGCCTTGTAATCTTCGCATCCATACCTATAAAATAATCAATATCTTCCTACTGCAGTATGTGATCAAACGATGCTACGCGAAATTGAAACACAAGGTTTCTAATTTTAAACAGGATGGCAAAACATGAAGCATGGGCGCTGTTTCGTACAGCCACGCATTTGGACTTCTATAAACAAGGTTTACGCCGCCATCTGTAATTTGTCGTATCGAAAGCGCGAAGATAAAGTCAACAAGCAGGAGTTTTTGGAAGTCCAAGGGGAACATGTTTTTGAGAGTATATAACGTCCCTTTTCTGACTTAATCTACTTGCTATTATTTAAATGTACTCAAATTTTCCAATTACGGCGAAAAGTTTCGCATGAAGGTATACTTTTCAGAAAACAGGCTGAAATATTTTATTGGTTACAGTTACGAAAGTGAGGAGAATTTGAAATTGGCAAAGTAAAATGCGGTGTGCGCAAATTCTCGGTCGCTAACTATACGTTTGTAGCTTGATAGTTGTGGGCATGATGGTAAATAGGTGGCGTATTCTGACTTGTTTCATATCGGGGTTAGGTAAATCCCAACTGGACAGCTATTGACGGGAAGGCTATGTGAACTAGTTTTCCCGCATAGAGGACACCAGACGTAAGACGTTCGAGGGCGATAAATGCAAATAAGCCAAACAATCGTATATAGAAAAGTTTAGTGCAACTAAACTCTAC